ACTATTTTAAATTATTAATAAAGATATAAGCAAGGCCTCACCTTAATACCAAAAAAAAAAAAAAAAAAAAAAAAAAAAGTTTTCTTAAGATAATGTTTTTCTTTTGAATATGAAAACTGGTAATAGTATTGTTTTGTTAACTATATATTTAAAAATAATTGTAAAACTTTTTTTTTATAATCTGATATATGAATACTAATTGTATAAGCTCTATATTTTTTAATTGTCAATAGATTTGATAAGTTAAATATAAGAGAAGTTTTATTCATATTGCCAATAAGAAATAAAAAATAGTTTTATTAAATCTATAAATTTAAGATATAGTTTAGAAAATTTAATTTTTTTTCTTCTAAATCTTTAGACAATTGCTATAAAACTGTAATCTAATAATGAATTAATAAACTATAATATTCTAAAAAATTATTAAGTCAATTATTTAAAAATTTAAATGATTTATTGTCTAGATAATTTTGAATAAATGTAATTGCTTTTGTAGTTACTAAATCTCATATAACTGAATTATATAAATAATGTTATTTTATAATCTAACTAAATAAAATTTCTTTGATTTGTAAAAGCTAGATTGTATATTTATTATATAATTTAAACATCATTGACAAAGCTTTAATTAACTAATCTTTTTTACTTATTCAATCATATAGTTAATTAGGTTGAATATTAAATTTTTTAAATATTTCTTTAATATTTAATAGAACTTTATTTTTGTAATAAGTAATAATGTTTAATTTTTCTTGAATATTTCACTTTCATTTTAATTTTTGTGTATTATATGCTTTTAAATGACTTTTATTACTTGAAATCATTATTTTTTTTAAAAAAATAAATTCTTTGATTTTATTTATATAAATATTTATTACAATTATCAAAAAAAAATTATTTATTTACTTGAATATTTATTATACAAAAAAAATATCATTTTGTTTTTATGATTTATTAACTTTTACAAGTGTTAAAAAAAGATCTATTTTGTTTTCATGAATTTCATAATCAAAAAAATCCATTTTGTCTTCATGACAGTAGGAAAAAAATCACTAATTGTAATGTTTATTAATGTTTGTTTACCTGAAATCAATTATTAGTGTAATAATTGCAATTGTTCCCATCACTATGTAACATGCCACAAATCTGATATGCATCATAAAAGTATCCGCACAATCCGACAGGAGGGTGGTTTAGACCGTAAAATATGGTAATATACCAATACAATCAAATACACCGCACTCATCTCTAACTCCCTTTAAGCAACTCAAGCGCCTAGTTATATGTGTTATTTTTCATTTTAAAGCTTTGATCCACAACAGGTATGACTAGAGATGGGTTTCATTCGTGCGCATGATTGCGGAAACATGCACATGATTCCGTTTCATGCACATTTTATCCCATCAAGATTTTTCTCCTCTCGATCGTTTTTTCTTTTTTTTGCCTTTTTTTTATCATGCGCATGAAACATTTAGTGCGCATTAATGCGCATTTTTCCCATCACTAGGTATGACTGGAGAAAGGACACTGCAGTGCAATTTTCGTAATTGCATAGTTCTGGTCAACTTTATAATCCAGGCTTGAATTAGCCAATCGGAAATTGTTCCTGAAGAAAAACAAAACGACGGATCTGCATCACCTGATTAAAGAAATCCATTGTTCGTAATTTTGGTCAAACTTGCAGATCATTTGACCACATTTAAAGTTGTTTTGTTCTAGATCTGGCCAAATGATCTGCAAATTTGAACAGAATTATTAACGATGAGTTCCTCTATTGATACAAATCCACCGATATGCAGGAAAAAAATTAAAAAACGCAAAAACTGACGTCTAAACTAACCTTAGAGCACTAATTAAAAATTATGGAAGCCACATATGAAGTAGATGTTTTATATATATAAACGCGAAACTTAATGAGCAAAAGTCTCTAGGGATTGAGGCTGTGCAGGCTGCGCAGTAGATTTGATTTTCCCATGGCATTATTGTGCATCAGGTCCCTATGTGCAACAAAAACTTAAACCCAAAAATAAGGCATGTTATATCAAAAAACTTTGTTTTCTGCCGATTTATAAAATTTATAACATATATTGGTCAATTATTAGTTCGAATTTGGTCCATTAAATTACCAAGAAGGAACATGTTTATTATATCACTATGTGAAACCCCCAATTCAAGTTCCTACAAATATTCTTTCGATCCAATTATATTGGAATTCTTTTATGTTAGGCAAGCAATCCTCGGATCATACGAGTAAAATTTGGCGAAATGTCTCGAGAGACTATTTTTTCAGCAGTGGCGCTTATTTCAATAACCTTATGGAAGGCTTAATTCTAATTCTAGGCATTTCAATTTTAATGTCTTACACTAGTCTAAATATATTACCCGATGTCCGGTCTGAACCTGGCGACACGTGTTTTGCTGAACTTAAAAGCTTTTATGTCAATAATTAATCAAAAGAAAAAAAAATTTAGTGGTAATGAAAGTTCAAACTCTATATCTTACTGTGTCTTATTCTTTTTAAAAAAATTTGGAGGTTAGCACATTATATAGCTTGGTGTACGAAAAACCCATGTTAAAAGGATGACTTGTACACATTGTCAACGTTTAATACTAATTAAATAAAAAAGTTTTGCCAACTTAATTTACATTAAGATTATAATTATAATTTTTACAAACTAGTCATTTTTGCCATTGTGCCTGTGGTATCTTCTACTGTAATGTTCGAATTTGGTGAGATTAGTAATCATTCATTCGTAAATTAAAAATCCAATGTTTCCTTTATTAAATCACTTCCTTTTTACGCATACTGTTATGTTTTGATTACTGTATATGATAATAGCATGACTCATTTCGGTGTTCACACCACATTATTTCACTGAAAATTAGCTTGACGACAGACTATTTTACAGGAAATCAATTCATAAATAAGTTCATTTTCATACACATTTTGCTTGTTTATGAAATGAGCTGTCTGAAAATAAATTATCTATGAAACAAACTTATCTACAAACTGATTGAAAAATATACCTGTCGATGAATTAATTGTCAGTGAAATAAGATTTATATGATGTGACTGTTTGTAAAATGACAAGGAACCCTTATATTACGCATTAAATTATTAGTACTGTTAGACTTAAAGAACTCCAAGTTTCGAGACTTAACGGGCATACATGTCCGTCAGGTCATGTGATTCACATGATTGCAATTGTATGCAGTGACCATTCATTACCCTTAACAAAAAATTTGAATACATTTAAAACGTTTCGTGTATATAATTTTTTATTATGATTGAAGCTTAAAAAATAGCACTTTTACTTAGAGCACCAAGTACAATTCCTTTTAGTTGATTTTAATACATTTTTAGTAAATCTAAATTTGGTTTTCATTACTCAATTGCATTTCAATAAATGAATTAATGCGTTAGCAATTTACTATCATATTTCAGCTTTGCAATCTCTATTAATTCTGCAAATTCGCCACTTCTTTCACACATTTCTTTAAACAATCCATCAGGCTTTTGCATCAACAGATATGGAATATCGAATCCAACTACATTTCCGGCATCTAATTTTTAGAGAGAATCAATATTCCAATCATTAAAAGTTTACTCTGAAAAATACATACCCATAACTAGAATTCTATCGTAATCTACAACCGTTCGCAACCTATGTGCAATAGTGATGACAGTATTATCTTTAAACTCTTCTCTAATTGTAGCCTGTATTAGATGATCAGTTTTAAAATCTATACTAGCAGTAGCTTCATCCATTATAATCAATTTGGAATGACGAACTAGTGCTCTGGCCATTGCAATCAGCTGCTGTTGGCCTTGAGAAAAATTTGATCCATTTTCTTTGACAGGTGAGTCAAGCATTATTTGTTCTTTCTCGTTATTTTTCTGTTCAGAAATTGAAAGGACATTTTCTGATTCTTCCTTTTCAGAAGTAAGGCCAATTAAGTGTACACGACGAAGTGCATTCCATAACGTGAGATCGCTATGCTCATTGAATGGGTCCAAGTTGCTTCTTTTTTGTTTTTTTTTAAAGAGATCCAATGCTCAGTAGCAGAAATACTTTGTTAATAAATATAAGAATCAAGATATTAGTTTACCTTATAGTGCCATCAAATAGTACGGGATCCTGAGGTATGATAGTAATATTACTTCTCAAATCTTTTAATCTAATAGTACTAATATCGACCTTGTCAATTACAATACTTCCAGAAGTTGGTTCAATAAATCTAAAGAACGACATTGCCAACGTTGATTTTCCGCATCCTATTATTTAAGTGAAATTAATATTTGAATCTTAATACTTCTTAAACTGAGTTCTAAAATTTTACCAGTTCGGCCAACTGTTCCAATCTTCTCAGCAGCCATAATATTGACTGAGATGCCTTTCAGAACTAGAGGACTATCAGGTCTGTATCTAATTTCCAAATTTTTAATGTGAATTTCTCCACGAGCTGGCCATCCAGGTGGTGGCCTGTTGTCCAGCATTATATTCTCGGCCTCTACTTCTAAATCGTCACTGTAGTGAACTAAACGTTCCACTGAGTTCATATTTGCTTCCTATTATGTAATAATAAAAAAAATTGATAATTTAAAATAGTGAAGAACATATTTTTTCAAGTAAAGTAGCTCATGTTATCGGAAACATACGCCTGAACACGTGATTTACATTAGCTGCATAATAATTTGCTGTCATGATAATGTTTAAAGTAGTTTATAAAAATTTCTAGGTTTCTAGTTAAAATAATATCATTTACTTACTACTTCAGCAACTTCTTTAACACACCAATTTAAAGAAATGCTAACTTGAAGTGCATAAGATAACACTAATCCAGTAATTGAGGGTGCAATATTAAATCTAAAAATTATTGCAAAAAAACTTGCAAAAAGTACTAAGATATTTGCAATGGTGTCAAGACGCACTGAAAGCCATAATTGGGCACATATTGTGAGAAAGTTTGCTCTATTTTCGATATCTAAGAATGCTTCGTTATTTCTATTTTATTTTAAAAAGAAAAGATCATTAAGAAAATTATACAAAAACTAATAAAATATTACTGTAAATTTTAAAAACCTTAAAAATCTTTCTTGTTCACGATAGGCGCGAATAATCGGCAGCCCTGTAAGTGTTTCGGAAAAATGAGCATATAACGAAGATCTTAATACTGAACCAAGACCTATAATAAAGAAAAAAAGGGTTGAACATGTATTTATTTATTATTATTAGGCATTGATGAGAATAATTTATTACGCTTTAACTCGCGATTAGACGCCCGATAAAAAAGAGCCGCTAAATAATAAAGTATGGTCAAAGGAACCAACGGAATAATAAACCACTTAAATACCACTACGATTAGAATAAAAGTTCCAATAGCACTCGAAAAGGTAATAAAAAACATTCGGTATGATTCAGAAAGTAAACTGTCGCATGTGTCAACGTCTTTACTGAATCTGATGATTAAATGAATTTGGGTCAGAAAATATTAAAAATAAGATATTTAGCAAAGATGGGTCCCGAAAATCAAACCTTCATAAACCCTTTAGGATTAGGCTATAATATTCACTAGTTTTGATATGATATTTTGCCCAAATCCCGAATCATAAATCCTAAACTAAACCTCAAAATTTCTGAATTGCCAAACTGAATCAAAACTGAACTAATGCAAATCTATAGTGCCGCCAAATCTATGTGATGATTAGCATCACATGGTTTTAGCTAGTGATTAAAACTAAGTTAAAACCAATGTAACATGGTTTGGATCCCAAACAGCTTGGACGGCAACTATACTAGAATTCTAAACTAATGTCAAAATCCCAGATTATGTAAAAATATGTAAAATTTTTATATATGTTATTCCGGCATTAGTTTGGGATTATAATATTAGTTTAGAATTTCGGCATTAGTTGGATTTCGGTGCTTGGGAATTCGTAACTTCGGATCCAGTTTTGGATTTCGACATCAGTTTGGAATTACTGTATTATTTTGGGATTCTGAACTGATTAAGATTTTGCAGTTATAGCCGAAATCCAAAATCTTTTAACCCGAGAATTTATTTTTGGGACCATCATTAACATTTAGACATGACAACTACCGATTAATAATTCTTCCTAAGGGAGTAGTATCAAAAAAACTTATTGGTGCTCTTAATACACGTTTAATTGCATTATAATGTAGTCTTTTGGCTGCTTTGACACCGCTGTAAGAGAATGCAATACCACATAAAATACTAAAAATTCCTTGAGTGGCTCCCCATGCGCAATAAACACCCATCTGTTAGTGCAAATTAAAAAAATATAAATAAAATTAGTTATGCCTGTTTATACTGCAATTTGAGATTTCATAAATTTTAAGATACATGCATAAAGTCCTATTGGAAGTTCAAACGTGTTGCTAGACCAAAATGAAAGCCATAAATTATTTCTAAAAAGTTGTCAGTCATAAGTTTAGCGATTTCCTCGATTATGCATGAGATCGTGTAAGCAAAGCAAAATATTAATAAGGTAAAAACATACACAATATTTGTTCCTTGCATCATAACAAGCAAGAAAATAATGATTAATATTGATAATAATCCACCCGCATTCTTGAAATATGCAAAATATATTTCATTATTCACTGCCCCTCTGTATTGTTCTTCCGTTGACATTAACCCCTTAGGCAAGTCAAATGTCTGACTTCTTCCTTTCAATATTGATTTTTCGTCATTTTTTATTTCATCATCATTTTTGGTTTCACCATATTCAACAATCAATTTCGAAAATGATTTCCCATTATTCATTAACTTTTCATAAGTTCCTTGTTCAACAATTTTACCGTTTTCCATATATATTACACAGTCGACTTGTGGCAGATAATGTAAATGATGTGTAACAAATAAGCGTGTTTTTTTGGCAAGTGCACCTTGAATACAGTTTGTGAATAAGTATTTTCCAACATTTGCATCAACTGCCGATAATGGATCATCTAATAACACGATATCTGCATTATAGTACACAGCTCTTGCGATGTTGACACGTTGTTTTTGTCTAAAGAGTTAAAATCGAATTTTTTTAAAACTTTGTATTTTGTTAGTATATATTATTAATAAAACAGCGTACCCTCCAGATAAATTAATTCCTTTCTCTCCAATTTCGGTTAAGTCACCATCAGGCAATGTTTTTAAATCTTGTTCTAGACAACAATCTTTAATAACTTGTAAATACTTTTCTTCATCAAAAGGTAATCCAAAAGTAATATTGTTCCTAAGTGTAGCATTTTGAATCCACGCACTTTGAGGACAATACCCAAGATTTCCTCCAAATAAGACCTCTCCTTTAATTTTTTTCATTTCGCCAACCAGAGCTGACAATAATGAAGATTTACCAGAACTTACGGAACCAACAATAGCAATTAATTTTCCATGAGGTATTGAAACATTAATATTACAAAGGTGAGACCTTGGAGAAAGTGGATGAGAATTTTCAAAGTTTTCAGCTAAATCAGCAGGAGTCGAAACTGTAGAGGCATCTAGGGCCTTTTCGTTACTAATAGTAGGTGAAGAATCATTTTCATTTTTATCACTTTCTTTATGATTTTCTGGCCTTTTTTCTTTTTTCCTTTTTTTTTTTTGAATCATCAGTAACTTCTTCTGGTGGAGTACTTTCCCAGATAAATTCACCATCAGTAACTTTAATAGCATATTGTTCGTTTGGATTGACTTCCGGTAAAACTGATAATTCATCAGCCTGCAAAAAGTCATTTATACGATCAATTGATATGTAGGCATCACTAATAGAAGCTATAGCTACTGGCAGGAACATTAAAGGTATTGGAGAAGGTTAAATAATGCTAAAGAAGAGAATACGATTTCGACATCAAGGTTCCCTCCTGTCTAGGGATGGGTTCGGTCGGTCACGGTCGGTCATCGGTCGGTCATTACCGATTAACCGCTTATGACCGGTCAACCGCGATCGGTCATATGGTTAAATGACCGGTCATAGCCGATAAATTATTTAACCAATTATTCCAAATAAGTGACAAGTAAAGAAGATGGGACACTGAACAGGCTGCCAAAAGAAATCAAACCACGGTGATTTGCATTACATCTTTAATAAAATTATCATTCATAATTCTGGTCAACTTGCAGATCATTTGACCACATTTAAAGTTTGTTTTGTTCTAGATCTGGCCAAGTGATCTGCAAATTTAACCAGCGTTACCAATCAAAAAAATTTTGCACGACCAATCGATACCTAAAATTTGATCGAAAATATCTTGGCAACTACTTGATTAAAATTGACGAACTTTTTTTTATTTGAATTCTACAAATATATAGAATTTAAATAAAAAAAATTTCATCGATTTTAGTCAAGTGGTTGCCGAGATATCTTCGATCAAGTTTTAAAAAATTTTAAACGTCTATATCAATTAATAATAATTGCGTCAATATTTGTGCTAGAACTTTGATCGAATGTATCTCTACAACCACGTGACTAAAATCGATGAACTTTTTTTTATTTGAATTCTATAGATCTATAGAATTTAAATAAAAAAAAGTTCATCGATTTTAATCGAATGGTTGTCAAGTTATCTTTGATCTAGTTTTAGATAATTTAAATATTTAAAATAATTAATAATAATTGCTGATTTTTAATAGAAAAAAATTTATTTAAATTATAAATGTATTGTATATTAAAATAATATAAAAAAATATATAAAATAAATATATAAATAAATAGATATAATATAAATATATATAAAATAAATATATAATAGAATAAAATATGCTAAATATATATAATAAAATATAATAATTGTAAATATAATAATTGTAAATATAATAATTGTAAATATAATAAATTATTTTATATTTTTTAGTAACCAATTATGTAAACATAACATGCTCTTGCAGATTCACTACTTAATCTGTTTCTTAATTTACTAATTATTTGACCTGCAATTGAAAAAAGTTGTTCACATGGAACTGAACTAGCTTGAATACATAAATAATTATGTGCAAGTTCTGAAAGTGTTGGATATTCTGCTGTATGAATATTCCACCAATCTAAAAGTTTTATTGTTTCATCTGCTTCTGCATATAACCAATATTTTTGTACTTCATCATCTATTGTTTGTTTTGGTTGTGTTGTATATTTTAATTTTTGATAAAAACTTGATAATTTTTTAGGTTTAGTTATTGGTAATGATGGTGATTGTTGATTTATTTTTTGTCTAATTGGTATTAAAATCTCTTCATCAGTCATATTAGGAAAACAATATTTTTTATATCTAGGATCTAAAAAAACAAAAATATGTAAAGATTCAGTTATTAAATTAAAATATTCAATATATTTATATAACATAACATCATTAACATGATGTAATAAAAAATTTTCATCTTTTTCAGATTCTAAATCATTTCTAAGAGCTAATAAAATTATTTGTGCATGTGCAATTGTTGGATAAGTTTGTGATGAAAGTTCAATATTAGCATTATTAAATTGTTCTAATAAATCAACCAAATTTTTATAAATTTTCCATTCCTCTTCATTTGGCATAAAAATTTTTAAATTTGAATGTTTAACTAATAACATTTCTATAGATTCATAAAGTAAACATGCTCTTTTAAGCATATGATAAGTTGAATTCCATCTTGTTTTGCAATCTAAAATTAGAGTTAAAAAAGGTCTATTATCTAAAGTTATAATATTTTTTAAATCTTCAAAAATCTTTGCTGATTTACGAATTGTTTTAATTAATTTTCTTAATTTTTTAATTGAATGTTCTAAAAGATTTAACTAGCTAAAACTACCAAATTAAGTATATGAGCTATGCATCTATAATGACAAAAATCATTTAAATTTAATTTATCTTATAAAAAATTTGTAGCTGAAATCATATTAGCACCATTATCAGTAGTTAATACAATAATTTTAGTTTCAATTTTAAATTCTTCTAATAAATCATATATTTTAGTAACAATAATTTCTCCAGTATGTGATTCTTTAAATTGAAATATATCCAATACAAAGTATTGTAAATTCCAATTTTCATCAATAAAATGAATAGTAATAGCTATAAAATTTTCCATTTTTAATGATGTCCAAAAATCTGCTGTAAGAGCTATTCTACTTGAAATTCTATTAAAATAATTTTTTATTAAATTTCTTTGATGTCAAAATTGATTAATTGTTAGTTGATTAATAGTTTTTCGAGTAGAAATTTGATAAAATGGATTTAATTTTTGAATCATATTTTGAAAAACTTTATTTTTTACTACTTTAAATGGTTTAAGATCTAAAATAATCCATTCAAAAATTGCTTGAGTTTTTTCTGCTTGAATTTCTAATGAATATTTTTTAATTAAAATATTTGATTTTTCTTTTTCTAATAATAAATTATGTTGTTGTTGTAAATGACTACAAATAGAAGTAGTTGCTGTTGCTGAATTAAATATTTTAGAACATTTTGAACATTTTCGAGTTTCTTCATTCACATATTTCCAAACATCTGATTTAACTTTACTAAAAAATTTAATTTTCTGAGCTAATTCTAAATTTTTATTCAAATCTTTTTCATTTATTGTAACTGCTTCTTCAAAACTTAAATCTTGTAAATTTTGTATGATTTCTTCTTCTAGTTCAATTTCAATATTATTATTATCTAAATCACTAATATAAATATCATCATCAAGTTGCATTTGTAAACTTTCTTTATCACTACATTCTTCAGGAGTATTGTTTGAATTATTTGAACTAATAGACATTTTTAAATAATAAATAATAAATAAATAAGAAAATAAAATTAAATATATAAAATAGAATAAATAAAATATATAAAATAAATAAATAATATCATTTAATAAAAATCTAAAAGATATAATAATAATTATAGCATAAAGATTATATTTTTATAATTTGATAAAGAATAATAATATTAATTATAATATATTAAAAAGAATTTAATAAGGCTTTATTAAAAGAATTGGTATAATGAAATTAAGATAAGAGTTTAATTATATAAAAGAAATTTTTAAAAAAATTACAAGAACAAAAACATGGTATTTTATACTTTTTTTCAAGATCAAGAATTTATAACGTTTAAATCTACTTTAATAATTTTAATATAAAAATAAATAAAAACATAAAATAAAATAATATATTAGAATGTAATATTAGACTATTCACATGTAAAAAGGTTCTAATTATTTACTAACAATTACTTTATTAATGATACGATTTACTAATAACTAATTTATCAATAAGTTTATTTTATTAATAGTATGATTTACTGATATTTATTTTATTATAAAGTAATTCTAATCATTATCGTTAAAGTTAATTCTATAATTAAAGTTAAGATTAGTATAATTTATAAAATTATTATTAGTAAATCATATTTTCAGTCAATTAATTGTTGGTAAAATAAAACAGATTCAATATAGAGATAGTTTTAAATTAATTTTAATATTTTATTTATATGAGATTTTCAAGATTATCAAAATATTATCACATGCATTTTAATATTAAAATTATCTAATCTGATATACAGGAGTTGAGTTTGATAAACTTATTAATAAATGCAATATTAGTTATGAATTTATGCTTAAAAAAACAGAATAAAAAATGTATCTGAAAATAGCAATTAATATTATGCTAAAATCATTATAGATAGTTAAATTTGAGTTTACATAGTCTAATACGGATATGAAAATAGCAGATTCTTTTAAGATGAGTATCTAACTAAGTTCTGCTAAAACAATCCGAATGTGATTATACTTCCTTCTTTTAAATCTATTTTTATACATTTTGTATTTTTTATACCATTAAAATTACTATATGTAAAAGGTTATTTGAAAACACAATCATCTCTTGTGATATTGATTCATTATTTCTATATTCAGAAAGTATTTTGAAATCACATTTGTTTCTATAATCTTGATTGTATAGGATTGATTCTGTCTTTGCTATTTTCATGGGTATATTTAGAATTAAAATCTGTATTTATATTTATATCTGAATATAATTTTTTTTACAAGTATAAATTGAATTAATTCGGATTAATTATATATCCAGATTTACTAATATATCTAGATTTATATTTACATCCGAATCTAATTATATACGAATAAATT